ATCGGTGCAGCGAAAGAAAAACATGCCACTGAAATGGAGTAAGTGGTGCTGGGGCAATTGGATATCCACATAAAAGGAATTAATCTTGACCTCTACTTCACACCATGCACCTAAAAGTGAAAGACAAAACTATAAAGCTTTTGAAGATAAACAGGAGAATATCTTTGTGATCCCCAGAGTAGGGAAAGATTTCTTAAACAAGGCACAAAAAGCATGAACTAATGGAAAAGGTTGATAACATTGGGAACCTCTTAAAATCAAAAACTTCTGTTTATCTAACAACAAGATAAATACAGTGAAAAAGATAACACTTGTGTGCTCTGAGTTCAGGACACCAGGAGGAGCAGATTTGGCTGAGACCGGAATACATGGAAAAGGAAGGCTGGAAAGACAGGCAGCAGCCCAGCCGGGAATACCGCTTGCTCCCACCACTTGCAGGGCAGGTAAGAGCTGGAATCATCCTGACTTTATGGGGCTTCTTGTCTTATTTCTTAAGCTGGAATGTGTGTCTACAGGGGAAAATATGGAGTAAGATTCTTACCTATTCCTTTGCCTCCCTTTCAGGAAATCATACGTAATGTCTAACCTCCATTCTTCCTGCTGCAGGGTCAGTTCTGTTTGCTGCCCCAAAGCCAAGCTCTCTTCTTTTTCTTTTTCTTTTCTTTTTTTTTTTTAAGAATGATCTCTCTTTTTCTCTTTTTTTTCTTTTTTTAACTTTATTGGGGATCGGTGCTTTTTTCCCAGGACCCATCAGCTCCAAGTCAAGTTGTTGTCCTTCAATCCTAGTTGTGGAAGGCGCAGCTCAGCTCCAAGTCCAGTCACTGTTTTCAACCTAGTTGCAGGGGGCGTAGCCCACCATCCCATGTGGGAGTCGAACTGGCAAACTTGTTGTTAAGAGCACGCGCTCTAACCAACTGAGCCATCCAGCTGCCCACCAAGCTCTTTTCTTATCTCTCCCACCCACTGAATACAAATGTGTTCTGGCACTTCGTATCAGTCATCTCATTTATCCTCATAGGATGGTCTAGTAGGTAAGGAAGCATATTTTGGAGTCCAACTCACCTGAGTTTGAGTCCCAGCTCTGTCTTTCGCCAGTTGGGTGTTTTTGAGCAGGTCAGTTCACTATTCTGTGTCTCTGTGTCCTCATCTGTAACGTAGGAATAAAGGCTATTTTTTCATACTCTTCATAGGACATCAGTGAGAATACTCTGCTTATTTAATACAGTGCCTTGCACACTGTACACTCTCAATACATCTTATTGTTGTTATTCCACATTCTAAGGGGAAGGTGCTCTCTGAAGGGTCCACAGTTCATTGTTATCTGAGTTGCGCCTGTTGGTTAAACTGCGTGTATCTGCAGTAGCTAACAGGGGAGGGAGAGGGTTGGTCCTTTGAAGTCCAGCTGGGCACACTGCCAGTCCCTGGCTCAGCCTGGCTCCTGGCAGAGCCTCTCCTCACTCACTGAAGCTGCACTGGCAATGGCCCTGCTCAGCTTCCTGTCCCCGTTATCTTCCCCCAGCATGTGCCTTTGGAGTAGGAAATACCACCACTTGCTTTCTCGCTTCCCTTTGCTCAATAGGACCCTCATTCTTTAGGTCTCAGTCAAATCTCAGCAGCTGTCCCTGCGCCCACTCTGCTCTGTGGTTTTCTGCCCCTCGGCCACCAGGCAAGATGCAGCATGGGCTCTGGCTCCAACCGCAGCGTTTCTCCTCTCTTCCCCATCCCCAGCCCTGGGTTTAGAAGGGGCAAGGGGGATACCCCTCAAGCTGCCCCCACTCACCAGCTTCCCTATCCCCAACACTTTCCTCCCTCTCCCTGTACCCAGTCCCATACCCCCATTCTCTTTGAGTTCAAATCCCTGTTCTGATGTCTAAGCTGTGTGATCTTGGGCAAGTTATTTAAACTTTCTGGGCTTTAATGATCTCATCTGTAATATGGAGACAATGAACCTCCTGCTATCTGCCCCAGAGGAAGTGATAAAGGCCTAGCATGTAGTATGAATTTTGGGGATGTTTTATATTATACATAACATAAATATTCAAGCACATTGGATGTTTGTGTTGATGGAGAGTGATCCCCCCAAATTTTTGAGATACTCCATGGTGGTTAAAATCACAGACTTTGGCATCAGAGAGACATGGGTTCGAATTATAGTTTTTGCTGTGTGACCTTAGGTAAGTCACCCTCTCAGAGCCTCAGTTTCTTTATTAGTAAAATAGGGATGTTAATGCAACCCACCTCATTGGGCTGCATATGGATAAAGTGAGATTATTTACATAAAGAGCTTAACACTGTCCTGGCCCATGATAAATATTAGCTATAATAATAATTGTTGTCTCTGCTATTCAATTTTCAGGGCACTGGGGTGGGAGAACGGCGCTTGGAAAATAGCTGTTGCTGTTACCACCTCTCTCCATGACAGATCTTAGCTTGGTGGGAAAGACCTCTCTGTAACTGGCTCTGTGACTGGTGGTGTGGCCCCACTTTAACCCCAGTGACCCAAGCCCTACCTGCATAGATTAAAGACTCACAGCACTCAATTCCAAATCGGTTCAATCATATACTTTATCACTTTCCATCCCCAAGCATCCTCAAGCCCTCAAGGGAGAAAAAAAAAGGCAAAGCAAAAAGATATACAAACTCACTAGGAATCAGGTAAAGCAAATAAAAGCAAAATGAAGGGCCATTTTACACCCAACCATCTGGCAATACCAAGGGGTGGCATTGGATTTGGAGTGAGGGAACTCTCATTCACTGCTGGGAATAGAAAATGGCCCAAACCTTTTGTAAAACAGTTTGTCAGTATCTAGTAAAATTGAACATGCAGGTACCCCATGACTCAGCTATTCCACTCCCAGGTTTGCACCTACAAAGGTTCGCCCACACAGGCACAAGAAAACGTGTCCAAGAATGTTTATACCAGCACTGTTTGCAACAGCGAAAAACTGGAGAGAAAAAACCTGTAATGTCTAACAACAGAATGGATAAATAAATTGTGGCATATTCATAAGATGGCATAGTATAAAGCAGTGGAGATTAATGGGACTACACATAACATGGATGAATCTTATTAATATGTCAGATGAAAAAAGCAAGCTGCTGAGGAATATGTGGGCTTCAATACCATTTATAGAAAGCTCAAAATATACAAAATACCACTATATATTCTTAGGATTGTAAGCATGTATAACATAAGTATATAGAAATGTAAGGTAATAAAAAATGGCAAATACTGATTAGTGGTTATTTTGGTGGTTATTTTGGGAGAGATGCTATTGGGGCAGAGTACACCGAGACTTCAATTATTGGGTTGTCGGAAAAGTCATGACTCATTTTTGCAACGAAAAACATAGAAAAAAATACGTCATGACTTTTCTGACAACCCAATACACTGGTAATATTTTATTTCTTATGCTGGGCGGTAGAACATGTGTGTTTGTAATGAACTTCTTCAAGCATAAAACAATTCTTCAAATAATATTTTATAATTATTTTTTATAAAAGGCAAGACAATATAATTGGCAGTGATTTGGGTCATTCCACTTTTCCTGAGTCCCAGTCCATGAAAACAAAGCCCCCATTCTGCTGACAAGGCCATTTTAGTGAGCTGGAAAAAAAAAACTGTGATGTTATTTCTAGGCTGGTTTGCAACAAGCTAAGAGGTGAGTATGGACACTCTTGAATATATTCAGTTGAGAGCATGGGAGTCTGGTATGTGTCTAGGGTTTGCCCCGTTCCACTATGATATCAGCTCTCCCTCCGAGGAAGACATATAAAATAAAGAGTTAAAATCCCCCTTAAACCCTTTATTTAAGCCCATTCCCCAGAGGTAATCTCTATTGACCATATCCTTCCATGAATTTTTCCTATGTACGAGTATATACAAATACTCTTACACAGATACAGACAGAATTATTTTTTTTCCTTAATTTTTATTGGGTAACAGTGTGTTTTTTCCAGGACCCATCAGCTCCGAGTCAACTCGTTGTCCTTCAATCTAGATGTGGAGGGCGCAGCTCAGTTCCAAGTCCCGTTGCCATTTTCAATCTAGTTGCGAGGAACGCAGCCCACCATCTCATATGGGAGTCGAACCAGCAACCTTGTTTGTTGTTAAGAGCACGCACTCTAACCAAATGAGCCATCCAGCCACCCACCAGCCGCTCAGCGGCAGCTCAGCTAAGTTATTGTCTTCAATCTAGTTATGGATGGCACAGCTCACTGACTCATGTGGAAATTGAACTGGCAACCTTGTTCAGAGCACGTGCTCTAACCAACTGAGCCACCCAGCCACCCCCAGAAAGTTATTTTTTTAAATGTGAGAATGGAATTATATATGTATTACTTGGACAGAAGTAAAAATATTAAACTAAAAATAGATGGAATTATACTATATGTATTGTTCCATACTTCCTTTATTCACTTATCAAAATCTCAAGTCAATACATTAGCTTATAATGATCTGTCACCCTCTTTTACCTAATTTATTACTTAAACTTCTATTTTTAATTCAACAAGAGATATATGGTCACATTCCAGATGCAAAATTTTCAAACAATACAGATCGAGTGATAAAGCCCTTCACAAAATAGAGTGAAAAAGATTGCCACCCCTAACACACACACACACACACACACACACACACACACACACACACACACACACACACACCCATAGTCGCAGGCCTCTCCCTAGATCTAAACCACTGCTATATTTCCTGTACATTCTTCCAGATTCACTTACTCCTATAAAGAAATGTTTTTTAGTTGTCATGTATGTAGTTGACACATAAATGTTTCTAAACGGGACTCCATCTTACTCATGTGGCCTTGATAAGGGTATAGAGCCTGCTCTCGTCTTCCTCAATAGCCCTCCTCAGACCTGACACAAACCCCAAGCTCCAGACCCACAGATTCTCCTCACAAACACCCTGTGAGGACAGTGGTGACAGGTCACTGCCTTCAGGCCACAACATGGCACCCTCTCCTAACTTCCACCCCAACAATAGCAGTGTGAAAGGATGTAATGAATACCACGATAGAACTCCTCCAGAGAGACAAATGGAAAACACACAGGATGGAACTCTGGAGGACTGGTTCAAGATCACAATTCCTTATGAGATTAAGTATGACAAGATATGGCTAGTGAATTCAATCCAGAACCATTGCAGTGTCCCCTTCACGCCAGTGGATTTCCACTATGCAAACAACCAGGCCCGGTTCTTTGCCCAGGGTGCCAGTACTGCCTCTGCATTGAAGGATGTCAGCTGTAAGATTCATGATAACGCAAATCAAAAGATAGCTATCTTTGTCAATACTTCTGCCGTACCCTACTCTGTGCAGAATAAGTTGGAGTCAAAGGAAACGGAGCAGCTAAAGCTGACCATGAACAAATGATACGATGTCTCCCAGTAAGCTCTTGACCTTCATAAGCTCCACTTTGACCCAGACTTGGTGGGCCCTGATATTGATATAATCCTAAATCAAAGAAACTGCATGGCTGCCACCCTGCAGATCATCAAAAAGAATTTCCCTGAGCTGTTGCTTTTGAACTTGTACAAAAACAAACCATGCCAGCTGAATGGCCTGTCTGACATCATACAGATTGGCTCCCACAGTCAAGATGCTGAACCTCTCCAAAAACCAGCTGAAGTCGGTATGCGAGTTGGACAAGGATGAAAGGGCTGAAGCTCAAAGAGCTGTGGCTGGAAGGGAACCCCTTGCACAGCACCTTCCCAGACCAGTCCACCTACATAAATGTCATTGGGAAATGTTTCCCCATTAGTTACACCTGGATGGCCAGGAGTTACCGCTACCAATTGTAATTGACATTGTAGACCTAGAGATAATAAAACCTTGTAAGGCAAGCTATAGAGGATCTGAGACCCTGAAGAAGCTAGTCTTTCAATTCCTGCTTCAGTATTACTTGATCTATGACTGTGGAGATGGAAAGAGTCTCCTCAGTGCTTGTCACAACGAGGTCTGCTTCTCCCTGACCATTCCCTTCAACCCCAAGGACCCAGCCCCAAGCAGCTTGTGTGAGTACTTCAGGGGTAGCAGGAATATGAAGAAAGTCAAGGATCGTGACCTGTGGGTTCAGCTGCTGAAGCACAGAAAGCATGACATCGTTGACTCCCTCAGTGCATTGCCCAAACCTCAGCATGACCTTAACTCCTATGTGGTAGACCTATGTGTCCAGACAAAAACGATGCTCTGTTTTTCTGTCAATGGGGTAGAAGAAAAGTCTCAAGGGTCTGTCCATTGCCTTCACCCGAACCTTCATCTTGACTTCTGGCAGCAATTCCAGTCTGTGCATCGTGAATGATGAATTGATTGTAGGAAATGCCAGGACAAAAGAAACCTAGAGTGCCTTCTCCATTCCAGTACCCACATCCACCTCCAGCTCCATGCCCAGCCTCTCTGCGGAACAGCAAGAAATAGTGCAGGTTATCTCCACCCACTCTGGGATGAAACTCCAATTGTCTCAGAAGTGCGTTCAGGACAAAGAGTAGAACTAAATCAGAGCTGATTAGGTCTTAACTATGCTCAAAACCAACAGCCAGATCCCAGAGGAGGCCTTCAAACAAATCCCCTAAAAAGAACCCTCGGATGTCATCTTAGTCTTTATCTACATCTTTTTTGTTTCACTTTTCTCAAACTGCGTAGAGCACCCCTGAACAGTGTGTGTTTATATGAGCAAGAGTGACTCCATCTTGGACACTGAGTGCTATGGATATTTCCCATGAAGATAAGTAAACAACCACCAGATAGGCAATACAGCAGCTGCATGGACTGATAAGAAACAAGTCTGTGAGGACTAATAAGGTGATATCATATGGCTCTACTGAAGGCCTTACGAACCCAGGACTTGGACAGCTCAAAGAGCTGGTCTCAACTGAAAGGTGACCACGCTGCTCCTCTGCTCCAAAACACTGCTTGCTCCATCAGACTCAGATTGAACCTCTGCTGGACCAGCCTCCCGGACCAACCGCTCTGCACAGCAGAATCTGATTGACTCTGGGACCGGTTCATTATCAAAATACTTTACTATATTGTTATTGCTATATTGATGGCCATATTGCTATGATTATTTTGTGATATTGACATTAAGGAGGTGATTTTTCCCACTGCATTTTCTGGTTGAATAAATGAGCACACTGAAAGGCACTAGACCTGTGTGTTTGCCCTAATTCTCACTCGAAGTCACGGCTACCGTGGAGGCCTCAGTCAGTGCCAGGTAGATCCTGAGGGTCTGAGAGTCTCTTGGGGGTTAGTCCCTCTGACCTGCAGAAAGACTGCAGCATGGTCTGTGAGCCTGGCAGACGCTCGTGACACCAGCCTAAGACCATGCCCATGATTGGGGATGGAGGCCTGGCTGACGGAGAAGCCAAAGTTACCTGGCTACCTGAGGGTCAGTTGTTCTGTTTATTTTTCCCACTCATGATTGCTGTTGATTTTCATAGTAAAGAGTGATGTTACACATTGGGAAAAAATAAAAATAAAAAATAAGTGTTTCTAAATGGTACATAATGTTCTGCAACTTACTCTTGCAGATTTATGCATGTCATAAATATTTTATAAACCATCCATTAGCTGATATTTATTATGATATTGTTTATTATGTGCACTATTCTAGGCACAGTAACAAACAAGATGGACAGACTCTATGCCCATGAACTTACATTCTTGTAGGACATTCAGACAATAAACATGCAAATAACTTCAGGTAGTGCTAAGGAATATGATGAAAATAGAGCGGGGATTGGGCAGGGGAGGTTTCTTATTAACTACTGCATAGTATTCCACAGTATATATTATCATACTTTAGGGCAGTAACTTTCTAATTTTTCTACTTGCTTTCTAGAGTAAGAAATGCATTTTATACTGCTATCCAAAACCCATCATAGAAACATACACATAGAACCAAAACACATATACAACCGAACAAATATTTCATGAAGTAATGCTTAACTTTACCAAGGGTGACACACTTGAAAATTTTTATTCTGTTCTATCTCATTAAAAAAACAAAAAACACCTAGTAATCATGACCTGTTAAATTGGTTTCATTGTCCACTAATAAGATTGTGACCTCAGTTTGAAAAATATTGCTTTAAGTAACTAATCCTCTATTGAGATTTAGATTGGTCATAATTCTCTCCTGTTACAAATGATGGTGCAGTGAGCTGCTCTATATTCATATTGTGACTATTTCTGAGAGCACGATCCCTGATTGCATAATTACTATTTCCTTAAAATTCTAATAAAATGTAGCCAGCATGTTGGAAAACTGAATTCTAATTCCCCATCTGTCACCACTATGATGCATAAACTTTGGGCAAGTCCCTGAACTTCTTTGGACCTTGGTTTCCCCATTAGTAACCTGGTCCTACACCCTAGAGTCTGCTTTAACTTGAAAACAGATGCCCCACCCCCTGACTCAGGAAGGGCAGGACTTCTCTCCCAGCCCTTCTCCCCCTTTTCCGCTGCTCTCTGTCCCTCAGAAAGCTGCCCAGGGGAAAGGGAAAAGGCAGGTCTGGGCAGGAGGGTGTGAGGCAGGGCGGGACAAGGGGAGGGCAAAAGGGAGGCCAGCCCCCTAGTAGGAAATGAGACAGGGTAAGAATAACACTTTACTAGCCTGACGCCCTTCCTCCTTCCATCCCCTGGCCTCCTTCCAGCCTCCTCTGTTCAGCCTTTTCCCCTCCCAGGCAGTCCTCACTTCTGGTTCCTCTAGGCTGCAGCCAGTGGAAGTCCTCAGCCTGTCAGAGCCAAAAGCCCAGGTGGGCTCAAGAACTTCAGCCTCAGGATGATGACAACATTGCTGCCATTGCTGCTTCTACTGCTCCTGCCAGGCAGGGCCCTTTGTAGCCAAGAAGCCTCAGATGGTGAGTCAGGGGCACATCTGCCTCAGGAGGGTTCTGGAGATTCTCAGCCTCTCTGGGTTCGTGGGCAAGACCCGAGGAGAGCTTATCCCAGTGTCTGTGTCTGCAGCTGGCTAGATCTCTCTATAGGGCAGGCAGGATCCTAGGGACTGGTTTGTGTCCCAAAGCCAAGGTGAGGAAGTATAGCTCGGCACATGGGAAGGGGAGAGATGGCGCTTGCTGGGGGAAAACAGGACTGGGAAAATGGGAAAAGGGACAGGTAGAAAGGGCGAGGGAATCAGCCTCTTGGAGAGGGGAGAGATGGGATAAAGCCTGGAGAGGGAGAGCTGAGGGTAAAGGTGAATGGGGTGACTCTAGGGAAGATACTCAGAGATGAGATGCCAGATGGAAGCAATGGGAAAACACTGGGAGAACTGAGGGAAGATTTGGGGCTGAGATATGTGAAACAGAAAAGGAGACTCGAGAAGGTGGAAGGAAACTGGGGGCAGTAGGTGAGGTGAAGCTAGGGGAAAGGAACTGTCATCAGTGGGAGAGCTCATGGGAGACCAGGCTGCCTCCCGTGGTTCCATTTAAGCCCAGAAGGGGAGCTACTGCCCTGCACTGTATAATAATTGCACAGGGGCCTTCTCTCACCTCTCCCACAATCTCTATAGCTTCAAACTCCCCCTGAGAGAGGGAGCAAACAATAACCAGTATTCAATGAGTGCTCACTATGGTTAATACATGTATGGACTCATTTAACCCCCACAAAATCTCTACAAGGTAGGTAATACGATTATCTTCATTTCACAGAGGAGGAGACTGGGGCACGCAGCAGTGAAGAACCTTGTCTAGGGTTACCCACACAGATATACTTATTCATACCTGCAGATACAGAGCACTCCTCAAATGCAGTCGTGGTCATGACACACCCACACACAGAGATTTTACAACCCCAGATTCATTTTCTCCTCAGACATTCTCTGGGCTGCAACTCTGTGCCAGGCCCTTACTGGGTGTAGGAGGCAGAGATAACCAAACATGATTCTATAGCCTAGAGGAGCTCAGTGTAGCCTGTGGGTTTGGAGACAGTTTTGTAGAATCTGGGACCACTGAAACAGATCCACTGTGTCTGGGAGGGTAAAGAGAAGGAGACTTCGGGAAAACTCCAAGGAGAGGACAACCGAGCTGGGTCTTGAAGCATGAATTGAAGTTTGCCAGGAGGTACGGCAACCCTGACATGCTATTTACATGTCAGTCAAACGGTAGCATGAGGAACTCCAAGGAGTCTAATATATCTAAGCCCTGGAAAGAGGCTGAAAAAGGCAGCTGGGGGCCCAGTCCCCAGCAGCCTTGAATGCTATGCTAAAGGCTTTGGACTTGATTCTGTGGACAGGCTTCCCATGGGGAAGCAGTATAGCTGGGTGGCTAAGAGTGCTGGATTCAGTCTGCATTCAAACCACCTTGGCTCTCCTATACCATTTTAGCCTGCTTCCCGTTTGGACTGGGGTTAATTATAGTAGCCACTGCCTTACGTTAATGGGAAGAAGGCACAATTAAGATAATGATGTAAGCAAAGTACAGTGCCCAGGTCATAATAAGCACAATAACTATTTGCTATCATTATTGATAGGGGAGTGTGTCACTGCAGGATTTTAAGCAGAAGGACATAATCTTATTTCTGGGTCAGGTGGAGGTCAGATTAGAAAAGGGGTGACACTGAAAACATGAGGGCAGGGGCATGAGGAAAGAAGTTACTACCCCAGTCCAGAAGAGAACCAATGAGGCCTGAAGTAGGGCAGGAGACACAATTTGTATTGTATTGTAGGCCAGGATTTATTAACCAACTGGAAATGGGGGGAGAAAGGGGTGAGAGGAAGGAGATTGGAGGGGCTCTTCCACTGACTGGATTATTCTGAGGCATATGGCTTCTCTTCTTCCAGCCTCAGTTTCCTCATCTGTAAAATGAGGATAATAATCCCTGTCCTGCCCTCCTGGCAGGGTTACCGTGAGCATCAAATGGGAGGGAGGGCGGGAGGACACTTTATAGTTTATGAAGGGCTGAGAAGGTGGGCGGCGGGCCTCCGGGTAGGAGGTTATTATCTCTGGCTACGTGCCGACCTGTCCCACGCTGGCCAGGGACCAACGCGCTGACTTCTGCCCCAGGCCCACGGAACTTCCAAATGCTCCAGATCTCCTATTTCTCAGACCCCCACCAAGTGTTGCACCAAGGCAACGCGTCGCTGGGGGGACTTCCGACACACGTGCTGAAAAGCCAGGACTCTAATATCACGATCCTCCAGCTGCATCCCTTGCAGGATGCCCAAAGCTGGGCACTCACGGAAGAAAGAGTGCGGGTCTACCTGCAGGAGTTCCAAGGCCTGGTGCAGCTGGTGCACCAGGAGCGGGGCGTGGCTTGTAAGTATCTCACAGGCGGGCAGGGCCTGGGCGGGGCCTGGGGAATGGGGCGTGTCCTTATGGAAGGGACCGGTTCCAAGAGAGATCTTGTGGATCCGTGTGGTCTTCTGTGGGCGGGAGGCTCTCAGGAGTCCAGTGTGCGTCCTCATCGGCACCAGCATTTGCTGATTGCTGGGTGGGAGTTCGAGGCTGGAGAGGAGTGGGTATCCTAACTTATGGGCTCTCTGTCAGGGCCTCTTCCTGCTGGCATGACCTCAGGGTAGAACCTGTTGGGAAGCCCTGTCCCTTATACACCCTGAACCTCGAAAATTCCCCCTGGTGGACATCCCCCACACCTGGCACCCTCTCTAAACAGACTCCTGACCCTGAATCCCCTGTCCACAGTTCCTCTGACCGTTCGCTGCTTCTTGGGCTGTGAGCTTCCCCCTGAGGGCTCTATAACCCATGTCTTCTTCGAAGTGGCTGTGAATGGAAGCTCCTTTGTGAGTTTCCAGCCAGAGAAGGCCTTATGGGTGGCAGGGCCGCAGGCCCACTCCAGACTGGTCACCTACACTCTGAATCAGCTCAACGCCTACAATCGTACTCGGTTCGAACTGCAGGAATTCCTGCAGAACACCTGTGTGCAGTACGTGCAGGAACACATCACGAACAATTCAAAAGGTATGATGGGATTGGCGATGGACCTGTGGGTTGGGTAGGTTCCATGCAAATGGATGGACCTGAAGGATGGATACCTTGAGCAACAGGAGGCCTAGGGCTGGGGGTTTGGAACAGAGTGCACACAGATTAAATCACTTGGTGAACTAGCCCCCTTCCTTTGGGGCAGAAATCCGTTGGGTTTTATCTCAAACCATGGGATTTCTTGGGGGTATGTTCTTCAGGCTAACTCTCTGCATGTTCTCCAGGGAGTCAAACAGGCCGCCCCTACACTTCGCTGGTCCTGGGTGTCCTCGTGGGCTGTTTCCTCATCATTGGTGTGGCTGTAGGCATCTTCCTGTGCACAGGTGGACGGCGGTATTAATTAAGGTGGACGACGGTGTTAATTACTCTCCAGCCCCCTCTGGAAAAGGCTGGACTGATGGGAGTCTGGCAAGGGCAGATCTCAGCTCACTGAAAAACCAAACAGGCTCCCCATCTGGGACATTGTATCCCAAAAGTTTTGGAGTGACAGACTTTTTCTTCTCCCATGTCTGTCCACCAAGAGTTTGGGGGAAGGAAAGAGGAGAAGTCTAGATAGACAGAGTACTTCTAAGAGCCTAAGAACGCGCATGGTTTGCTGAATTAGTCTGAGAAATGAATGCTTCTCTGTCTTTGTGGAAAAGAGACAGTGGAGTTAGGGTGGTAATTGTGGGGTCTATGGCCCATTCTCCAGACAAACAGAATCACCTGAGGCATTCAAAACACAGAACCAAATAAAACAAGTCAACCACAACCAAAACAAACAACATTCAATGCTTCCAGGTGTGTCGCACTTGGGATGGGACAATGGTATAACAGAGGTAGAAAAAATAATTAGAGAAATGGTGGAAGTGTAAATCCAAGTAATATGGGAGCAAGCAGTTGTTAATCAATCAATTAATGATATTAATAAATTCCTTACTTGTGTATAAGGCCTTATTATTTCCTCTGCAAAACTTCTGTAAAAGTAGCCTATACGCTTTGCTTCTACTTCCTCATCTCTCACTCACTCTTCAACCCACTGCAGTCCGACCTCTGTATAAACTGCTCAAAGATCACCAATGAACTCTAATTGTGAAACCTTCATCCTCCATGATATCTGCAACATTTCACTTTGTGGACTAGAATTCTTTTTACCCCAACATCTGAGATACCATATTTCTAATTCTTAGAAACCATTCTGGCCACTCATTCAATTCCTAAGTAAGAGGGCAACTATGTCATCTTACTCGGTTCACCTTGGAAATGTTAGCTTCCTTAGAATTCCATTTTGGGGCTTCTTTCGTTCCCCTTTTAACTATACCCTTTCTGGGGGACCTACTAACTTCCATGGCTTCAGATACCATCTCTCTGCGGTGATTTCCATGGGGAACCAATATAATCTTGTCTTTGAGAGTATGTGTTTTGTCATTAAACAGACTTGAGTTTTACTTCTTTGAGCCAGACATTTTAACTTCTTCAAGTCTCATGTTTCTTCAGAAACAAAAGCTATGATAAAATATACAAAAAGGGTATAATAAAAAGAATACCTACTTACCTCATAGAGGCATTATTCATATTAAATAAGAATATATATACTGATAATTAAGTTCGCGAACTTGTTGCAACGATGTTGCTAACCTTTTTTGATATCAGAGGGATAATTCATTATGAATTTGTACCAACTGGACAAACAATTAACCAAATTTACTATTTGGAAGTGCTGAAAAGGCTGCGTGAAAAAGTTAGATGAAAACGGCTTGAACTTTTCACCAACAATTCATGGTTCTTGCATCACGACAGTGCACCAGCTCACATGGCACTGTCTGTGAGGGGTTTTAGCCAGTAAACAACTGTATTGGAACACCCTCCCTACTCACCTGATCTGACCCCCAATCACTTCTTTCTTTACCTAAAGATAAAGGAAATGTTGAAAGGAAGACGTTTTGATGACATTCAGGACATTAAGGGTAATATAACGACAGCTCTGATGGCCATTCCAGAAAAGAGTTCCAAAATTGCTTTGAAGGGTGGACTAGGCACTGGCATTAGTACATAGCTTCCCAAGGGGATTACTTCAAAGGAGGTGATCATAGTGATATTCAACAATGAGGTATGTAGCACTTTTTCTAGGATGAGTTCGCGAACTTAATTGTCGGACCTCGTATGTATACTCACTAAATATAGCCCTTGCTGCTGACCTCCAGACCCTGCCATTTGCATTGATTCTTGAAAATCATCTCTACCTTAATATTATGCAGGGATTTTAGAGTCAACATGTTCAAAATAAGCTCTATATCTTTCTCCCCAAACCTGTTCTCTCTCTTCTATTGTTTACTATTGGTTAAACAGAATTACCATCAAACTATATCAATGTAAAGACCTCAGTGTTAACTTTTATTTACTCCCTCTTCATCCCCACATACAAAATACAATATCTGTAGAATCCATTCCCTCCTTTCCATTCCATTGCTTTTGTTCAAGATATCATAATTCATCACTTTCTCTGTGGCAGGCATGGAGGTGTGCGACCTACCTTCAAGGAAATACTTGCTGGTCCACTACAGGGTGTATAGCCAGCAGATAGCCTCTTGCTGCTTCAGTTCATTTCTGTGCCTGCCTTAGCTACAGAGAACAGTCCTACACAAGGTCATGCTTATCATGGGGCTGTCCTCATCTGATGACTGAGCAAAGCAAGGTATACAGGTTTGGCCATTTTGACCTACGGCAGGACAATTCTGATGAATAGTACTCACTCCAGAGCTCCTTGCCAGATTGGCTGGGTCTGTGTCAGATCTACGTTGCAGTTTGGCTTTTCCCTCTATTCAATCCTGCTTCCTCCCCCTAGTTAATATCTTGCACCTCAAACTCTGTCTCAGCATCTGCTTCCAGAAAACCCAATCTGCGACTGACAACCTCTCTTCTGTCTCCAAATTGAAATTTTTTCTTAATCTTTTCTCTGGACCATGGCAATAGCCTCCTCCTAATTGTCCTCCTGGTAATCTAATTTCTCTGAGTTCTGTTTCATCCTTTACATGATAGTGTTTTAAAAATCACAGATCTTATATCAATGTTCTGTTTTTTAAATTTCCCATACTTATTGAGCTAAATTCAGAATCTTCAAAATGACATTTAAGGACTTGTACAACCTGGCTCTATCCTAATTTTCTTTTTTTTATTTTTATTTTTAGTGGGGAATTGGGGAAGGGGAACAGTGTTGGGGAATTGGGGAAGGGCAACAGCCAAGTTGCTGTCCTCCACAATCTTAGTTGTGGAGGGCACAACTAGCTCAGCTCCAAGTCTAGTTGCCACCCAGCCACCGATCGGCAGCTTGCAGCCACTCCGCTCAAGGTGCTGTGTTCAATCTTAGTTGCAGGTGGGCATAACCCACCATCCCATGTGGGAATTGAACTGGCAACCTTGGTGTTAGGAGCCCGTGCTCTCACCAGCTGAGCCATCCTGCCACCTATTGGCAGCTCAGCAGCAGCTCAGCTCGGGCGCAGCTCGCTGGCCCATGTGGGAATCAAACCAGCAACCCTGTTGCTCAGAGGTCACGCTCTTAACCAACTGAGCCACTCGGCCAGCCCATCCTAATTTTCAAATTTTATTTTCTACCACTTCTTTTCACCCAATTGTGCTTTAGGTGATCAATTTTAAAAGCACATTTTAAAATGACAGAAGTAATACAACAGCAGTAGAAATACAGAAGTTTACAAAGAAAAAAGTGAAAGAACCCTGATCTCTCCTTCTCCCTAAATCCTTATCCAAAAGTTATGCCAAGATTCTTAGTTGCAAGCAACAGAAACCAACTCTGCCAGCTGAAGGGGGAAATAAATATATTGAAAGGTTATCAAGGAATCCTCAGAGTTGAAGGGAAGGCAAGCTAATCAAGCTCAGAAAATAGAACCAGAGATCACAGCCAAAGTCACAACACAGGAGTGGTCTAGGTGAGAATAACACTGCTGGAACCACAACCTCCATCACTACTGCAGGTTGCCATCTTAAATGAATTCTACTCTGTCCCTGTGTCTTTACATTCTTTGATCAAGAGTCGTAGTTCTGGTGGGAGCATCCAAATGGCCAAGCCTAGATCATGTTGCCTTGGCCTTAGCTGCAAGGAGGGCTAGGGGGAAGGGAAGCGTTAGGTATCTTTGGCTTCTCTTGTGGAAAGACAAATCTGTTTCCCATTAAGATTTACACAAAGGTTTCAATGTTGGAAAACCAAAAAACAAAAATCAAACACTAAATTTTCATTATGTCTCACCATCAATTTATTTACTCAGTAAATGTTTATCAGTAACTTCCATATACAAAATGATACAAAAGATACAAAATGATTAAGACATGAACCTTCTTGAGGAGCTCATTGTTTACTTGAGAAGATAAAGCATATACAAATAAGAATAATACAAGGCAGAATATCCTAATAACTGGAAGAAACATAAAATAAATATGTTGTAACTTACTGTGGTAGCTATCATTTACATAGTGCTTTAAAGTTTTCTTAATTATTTATTTATTTTGAATTATTTAACTTGCATTTATCATTTAATACTCACTGAGATCTTGTAAGGTAGGTAGGTATTCTCCTCATTTTAGAGTAGGAAACATGCTTAGTGAGGACAGCAAACAAAGTGAAGTAAATAAAGTAAGTGGCAAAGCCACGATTCAAACCCGTGCCTTTGTGTTCTAGAATGTATAGTTTTTCTCCTGTACTAAAACTAAGGGAATCAGAGGAATCTGAAGGGAGGGGACGTAATCAGATTTGTGAATGGGTAAAAAGTAACCATGCACAGATAGGTAACATAGACAAGATACTAGCTTAAATAACAGCATGGAGTTAGGAAAAGGCAAAGTAAATTTTAGAAAGGATAACTAGCCCAGTGGGATTGGAGAATAAAGGAATGGTAGAAAATGAGAACAGTGGGCCTCAAAAACCTGGTGAAGGACTGTGTTCTTTAGATGGTAAAAAGCTGGGGATTTATCAAAGGTTGGTGGACAGAAAACTGATGAATTTTTTCTTTCCCCATTCACATGCATTGCTAAAAAGGCGCTTCAGATAGGTTGAGACCCACTGACCCCAAGCTTAAGAATCTGGCCAGGCCAGTGTAGGCCTTATCTCAAGTTAAGAAGCAAAAGGGAAAGGAGAAGATGCAAATAAGTCAGTATGGAGAGAGTGAAATCTTGGAGTGTGATCCAGATGTACTCAGGCTCTGAGATGTTATATTACCCGCTTTCGTCAATGCTGCTACCACAGTCATTAAGGCCCTCACCAGCTCTAACCTTGACTAGAATCACATCTTGCATGCTTTCACTTCCCTCAAAATGTTGGCCATCAGAATGTTCTTTCTAAAACATGCCAGTCTTCAGGGTCGGCAGAGTGGCTCAGTTGGTTAAGAGTTGGCTTGGGTGTGCAAGCTCTGAGCAGCAGGGCTACCCCTTCGGTTTCCACATGAGCCAGTGACGCTGCGCCCTCTACCGTTAAGATTGTGAACAACAGCTCCACCTGGAGCTAGGTTCTGGTGAGTGGCGGGCGACAGCGTAGGCTGCAGCCCCTGTTGCAGTGGGCTGCCATGAGCTACTGTGAGTGGCAGGTGGCTGGCAGCTGGCGAGAGCTGCCATGAGCGGCCGTCCAATGGCCAGTGACTGACTGCCTCAGCCAAGAAGAGCACAATGATAATACCAACGTGAGCCAGTGAAGCGACATCCTCCACAACTAAACTGAAGAACAAAAGGACAGCAATTTGTCTGTTGCCCTTCCCCGATTCCCCAATAAAACCTTTTAAAAATAAATAAGTAAATAAATAAATAAATAAAATAAAAATAAATAAAACATGCCATTCTTCTGCCTAGAATTCTTTAGTTCTTCCACTGTTCATAGGATAAAATCGAAACTCTTTAGTATGGAGTGAAGACCCTCCACTATCCAGCACCAACTTATATTTTCCTTAGCTGCATCTCCAACCCCTCTCTTAGTCCATTCAGGTTGCTATAAAAAAAATCTCACAGTGCTGAAGGCTGGGAAGTCCAAGATCAAGGTGCTGGCATATTCGGTATTTGGTGAGGGCCTGCTTCCTGGTTCATACGTGGCTATCTTCTCACTGTCTCCACATGGTGGAAGTGGGGAGGGAACTCTCTGGGGTCTCTCTCATGAGGGCTCTACCTTCATGACCTAATCACCTCCTGAAAGTCCCACTTCTAAATACCATCACTTTGGGAATCAGGTTTCAACATATGAATTTTTTTGAGGGGAGGGGGGCACGAACAGTCAGTTTACAGTACCCTCGCCTTCTCTCAACTTACCTTCTAACGTCCCCCAAATCACTCTTTTCTCAAACATACTCTGTCCTTTTTGGTCATGCCATTTCATGTCATATTCTTTTCTCTCCCTGGCAAACTCTTATTCATCTTTTAAAACCTAGCTCATATGTCATCTATGCTGTGAAGCCATCCATGATTCTTCTATAAATAGTTACTTATTCTCTCTGTGCTCTCAAAGCATGTTTCACAGTCCCTATTAGAACACTGTCACCTTGTATTGTATTAATTTCTGTCTTCTATTCTGGCATGTGAGCTCTCCAT